TCAAGGCAGCAGAGGGAAGGAGAAGGGAGCTGAGTTTCTCTGCTGGCATTCACACAGAGCTGTCAGCTGCAGAATTCCCTCCAGGAGGTATCAAAACTGAGCAAGGCTCCTGGTTTTGTGTGTATTCAGAAACCCCCTGGCCTGGAGGAGCAGTGGGGGTCTGTGGCTGTGCCTGCAGTTACCAGCAGACCGACATGCCACGTGTGGCAATGCCAGCACTGCCACCTCAGCTCCTGCTCCTGGGGTGGGAGGTGAATTCCAACCCCCTGGTTGGATCTGGGACACCAATTCCATGGGCAGGGACACCTTCCACTCCACCAGGTTGCTCCAAGCCCCATCCAAGCCCTTCATTCACAACTTCCATTCACACCTGAGCGCTTCCCCAACACCACTGTGAGAGGGGCCAGAGTGAGAACTGCAAATCTCACATTTTAAATTCTCCCTGTGGTGCTTTGTCTCTGGATCCAAGGAAAGCGGAGTCCCAAGGGTTCAGGGTTATCCAGAGCATGGATAACCCATGGAACTGGGAAATACTGAGGATGTTCTCCTAAACAGAGTTGATACCTGGTGGGAAGTGCTGGCCAGATTTCAGAGTTGTCTGATCCAAATGAAAACCCTCACCCCACACGACATTCCACATCTAAAAACCCTTCAAAGACCACAAACTGATTGGATTTGATGAAAAATGAAATACAGCCCACAGAGTGAAAGTGTTGGTTTTTAAGCTAAAGTTCTCTCTCTGCAAGGAATCCAGCATAGAAAAGGCTTTGAGTGAAATATTTGTATGGAATAAAAAGAAACCAAACAATTTCTTACAGGGAAGTTTCAAATAAACGAAAATTTCTACTACTCCATTATAAATAAACATTTCAAAATAGACCAGAGCTATGTTTTGTGAGAAATGCAATTCCTGGGGCTGCTCCCAGGCTGACATTTGTAAGCTCAACTCTCCCTTTACACCTGCACCTACAAACAGAATAACTGCAAGTAAGTTTTTCTAACCTTTTCTTTGACTGGAAATTATCTGCACAGAAGAAATTACCCATAAATTAAATGTCTGGGGGAGGAATACAGGGAACATGGAATTCTGCTACGCCTCCTTAGTGATGCCAGGTATAAGTGGCACCAGGAAAAAATTCCAAACCAAGCACATGGGTGCATCCCTGCTTTTCTCCTGCCACTAGAGTGAAGAGCTGTGCATGGAATGACAGAGTGAGCAAAGGAAAAAATAAAAAGCCAGGGAATTTTGGCACATTTTACAGCAAAGTGGTTTTCAGGGAGAACATCCCCAGGAATAGCTCCTGTGCTGTTTGCAGGGAGACAAAACAGACATTTGTTAAACTCAAGTGAGGTTTTTTTACATCTCCTGAAAGAAATCACTAAAAACTCCCAGGGTTGCCAGCTGCATTTCAGCCATGGGTTTGCCTGAAGCATTCCCCGGGGTACAGAGAGGTTCAGAGCCAAGGAAGCCCATCAGGATCCCTGGATTACACTAAAACTGTGGGAACACTCATCACCAAAGTACAGACACATGGGAACACCATGAGACAGCCAGCACAGGAGGAAATCAGACACTGGGTTCTCACCAAAGCACAGCAAGGTTAAATATTTCTCTTTAAAAAATGCCACAAGTGGTCAGGAGCTGGTTTTCCATTGCACCTGATGTGTTGAATTAAACTGTTTGAGGTGGTCACACACCTTACAGCACTTCATGTTTTCACTTTCTCCAGCACTCTTTGTGCAAGGAAAATATTCCCTGCTATTTGCAGGAGAGAAAATGAGACACAGAGATACACCAGGAGTTTCTGGCAGGGTGAAAGACTGAACTTCTCCCTGGGCCATCCTTCTCCATCCTCAAGAAGCCAGAAATCCCCATTAAACCTTTAATCCAACCACAGTGGTTTCTATGTATTAGATATGGACAGGGAGAATTTTTCCTTTTCTGAAGCTCCTCATTTTTATCCTATTTATTTCTTCATTCCACAGTGCCAGCCTACGCCATGGACAAGGCAGCAGAATTGGAGGGAATATTTCCCCAGCACATTATTCCATGCTTTCCTGATGGACTGCACATGGAGCTTTGTGAATGAGCAAGGGTTGCAAAATGTATTTTGCCCGGGGCAGTGAAATAGCTGGGGCCAACCGTGTCATTTGGTTTCACTCACACTTTCCCTACCCTATCTCTATCTTGGTTTTTCCTTTTCTGTCTCTCTTTGTTGTCTTGGTTACATGGGCAGACTCCTGATATTCTGCTAGTATTCATTTTAATGATATGTTCCCGTAAAGCACAATATTTTCCTTCAGTTGTGTGTGCCACTGGATAAATTCCTTTGACACATGTGACATTTGTATATCAACTAGCAGATAGTGCTTTATGACTGTGGGTATTTTGCAGAGCATTCATGGATCGCATAAATCAAAATCTGATACACAGTCTGCCACTTTCATACATAAGGAAAAAAAAAAACCCATACAGAGAGGAAAATACTGAAACTGCAGGAAAAAAAAGCAGCAAAGTTTCTCCAAAATCATCTTGTAATGACTTGCAGCGAGTCTTCCAAGCACAGAATAAATCCTGCTATCTTGGGGATAATCTCAGAACTCCTCTTTCAGGACATCCAAAATATTCCACTGCAGCTTGACCGAGGAGCTGCACTGCACCAGGAGAAGCAGCAGAGTGTGACACGCCTGGTAAGACCCAACAGCACAAAAAAAAATATCCTGGGATTTTTCCAAGAGTTTCATCTAACCCTAGAAGCCTTTCTCCAGTTTACCAGTGTTTTTTGAACAGAAAATAAACTTCATGCTAAAATCATGGATAATGCTGGAGCTGCAATCCCAATGCAGCACCTGATGGATGAGCCAAGGTGGCAAACAAAGCATCAAAAGGCCCATGGCAGGGGTCAAGGAGCATCAAGGGAAAATCCTGAGTACCAAACCTCACAGAGGAGGTGACAGGGTGCTGTTCTAGGTTCAGACACCCTCGGGAGCACTGGAGGAGAACAAATGAGGAGGAAAGTCACGGATTGCAGAGGTCACAGCGAGGACTGGGCTGAACCTACAGGACCTGAAAGTTTCCAGGAGCCTGGATCAACTGGTCCAAAACAATCACACTTTTGGTTAGTGGAGCCCCACTTTGTTTTGTGTTTTGCCTCTTTGGGGAAAATTCATCCACCTGAGCAAATCTCAGCCCAAAGTTCCATCCCTGCTCTAAGTCACCCAATGGGGGAACTACCATGAGCAGAAAATTCAGCACATTAGGGATAAAAGCTTCATTTTATTCCCTTTCTCAAGTTACATCAGCCACTTCAGCTCTCCTCTCGTCATTCTTTACCCTATAAGGCTGTCCCTGCTCTCTACCACACTCCATAAAGCACAGAAAGCTTTCTCTCCTATTTTCCCCCGTTAAAATGGGATCAGATCTTGGAATCTGCAGTGCGACCTGCAAAGGCAAAGACAGAGCTGTGGCTGAGTTTTCTTCTCCTGAAGCCAAAAAAAAATCCCCAACCAAAAGCTTGTGAGTGCAGGGAGAGCAGTCATTAAGTGTTTAAGTCTTTTTGATACTTACCATTCAGATCTCAACTACCCCATTTCCCTCCCTCCAAGAGACTGACTGGAGAACTGAACTGTTTATTAGGATATCACACATGACAGGGAAGCCAAACCTATTTAGCCAAGGGAAGAGATTATTTTTATTATGACCATTTAAAAAACAATTTGGCTCCTTTTTCACATGCCTGAATAAAAAAAGAATAATAAAACCACAACAAAACAACTGTATTTTTTTTTCAAAAGCACGAGCAGCCTTTCCTCTGTTCCAAACAAAGCCAGAGACATTAGCCAGTGAGCAAGATCCCATTCCTCCCGCAGTATGGGGGAAATGCCATCTGAATTTACAGACCAGATTTGCTTTTCAAGTGAAGAAACAGGTAGAGGAATAAAACCAGAGATTCCAGACTATCCCTATACATCTCTGAACAAACAACTTCACTCCCCACAAGCCACAGTGGGTCACCTTTTCAGAGCACTTTGTTTGCCCCAACTTGGAAGTGTTTACTCACAAAAGGGATTTAAAGAGGAATCAACATCCTAAAACACGGCAGGGATCTACCCAACCTCCCTTCCCAGCTTCTCCCCCATCTCCATTACCATGGCAATGCCACCATCTCCTTGCTCAGCCAAAGTTTCACGGCATTCCTGGGCTGAACATTCAGACCAGCACTGTCAGACCAGCACAGAGGGGCTGAAATGGAGGCAGCATCCATTCCCCACTTCCCACAACTCTTCTTTCCTTGGGAAAGCCACAGGTAGAGGATTCCACCTCCCCAGCCTCTCCGAGTGCTTGACAAGGCAAACCCCAGCCACGTGATGGGCACATTTCCAGTGAGAATGCCCAGAGAGGAACACAAACACAGTCTTGATTCTGTTTGTGTGGCATCAGCCATAAACATAAAGCTCTTTACAGCTCAGGACACAGCTTTCCTTTGATGCAAACCCATTTCCTTCAGCACAAACCCCCAGCCTGACGTCAACGCGGCGGCCGCTAATCCCGTGCTGGGCTCGTGGTGAAATCACAGCCTGGTCACACTGCTCTGAAGAAAGATCTCCAGAGCATCAATCCTCTTTCCCAAACTTCAACCCCAATCAGTTTTTCTCCAGCATGCACAGACACCCTGTGATCAACGACTCAATTAGAGATGGTCTGAACACAGAAAATTCTGCTGGATGCAAATTACATCACGTCCATCTGCGACTGGGGCTGTGGTTTGACTTCTGAGGCATTAATTTCCTGATGAATAACCATTTGGAAGAAGGATTTTATCCTTTCTCAGATCATCTCTATCCCTTGAGGGTGAAACACAGGTTTTTTTGCCAACCAAACCATTTTTTATCCTCAAAACAGCAGCACCTTAGGATAAGGACTGTGCTCACGCTCAACGCAACACTTAAATCACCATATAAATATGAAAATCTGAGTTAGAGAACCACATGGGTCTTACCTTCTTGAGCTTCCCACTCTTGGTGCCCACAAAAGCCAGGGAGTGGTTCTTGTAGACGTAAGCGATCACCGAGGTCATCCTGTCCCCATCCTCGGTGAAAATGGGGAGCCCTCGCACCATGGATGATACTCCCAAGGGGGCATTCATATCCAGGCCACAGAAATTGTCATCAATTGTTAACAGCTGCAAAGAAAGAAAGAAAAAAAGGGGTAAAGAGCTGAAGTCACCAATTTTTTAGCCATTTGGGATGTATCCATGCATTGCATAATGTGCCTATAATTTATGCAGGCTGACAAAAATCGGGGAGAACTGGAGAAAGAGGTGGAAAAAAGAAAAAAAACTCTCCAAAGTTGCTCAATGAGTTACAGCCAGAAGGAGAACTGGAAAGTTGGTTCTCTTGAATGACAGCCCAGCAGGATACATTATATTAAGCCTTTTTCCTACTGCTTTACCAGTCAGTTTTACCAGTCAAGACTCACCAATCAAGTGAAAATCTGCTGAAAATGTCATAAACATACCCAAGTTCTGTTGGAAAAAAAAAAAAATAAAAAAAATCCAGAGTAAGAACCACTGAGCTAAATCTGCACTGGCTAATAAAACAGTCTGGACCTGAGATCTAGCAGTGAGGATCACAATTATGAACCATAAATAACCATTTCTCTCCTAATCCTAAACTCAGTAAGGTTGTTTATGTTACATCTTGGAAATTATCATCCTCCAAGGAGCGTCCGGGCACTGTCTGAGCAAGCGATGGTCAGCCCAGGCCAAATCTGCAGAAGGAATCATGGTAGGAAGTAAATACCACAAATTTAAAACCCTTTCCAGTACCTCAGGAGGCTCCAAGAGAGCTGGAGAGGAACTTTGGACAAGGGATGGACACAGGAAGAGGCAATTGCTTCAGAGGACAGTGTTAGCTGGGGAGAAATTTTTGGCTGTGAGGGTGGTGAGGCCCTGGCACACACAGTCCAGAGAAGCTGTGGCTGCCCCTGGAGCCCTGGAAAATGTCCAAGGCCAGGCTGGACAGGGCTTGGGGCAGCCTGGGATAGGTGAAGGTATCTGTTCCCATGGCAGGAGGTGGGACTGGATGGTGTGGTGAAAAAACACACTGTGAAAAGCCAGTGTCCAGAGTGGAGACAGGAGTCCTGAAACTTCATACGAATAAAGGGAGAGTCCCCTGGGCATACCCCCATGGGATTTCTCTCTCCAGGTTTTAGAGGACGCAGCCTCTTTGATCCTAAACTCACCCACCTACCACATATCCCCCCTCAAAGGTATCATTTCCCCCCAAATCTCAGCAGTTCTGCCTTAGTCCGGACACTTTTGTCCAACCCTAAAGCTCAGGAGCTCAAACCGTAGTTCAAGCTCCCGGGTTTTGTAAGGAAATTGTTCCGATTGTGGCTGGTAGAGACATTTAGCCCCATTTCAGAGACATTAACACCCATTCCTCCTAAAGACTCCTCACCCATCGAGTTGTTTCTAAGGACATTAGCGCCCATCTTTCCTTTCTTTAAGGCGCCTTCCAATCCAAACCATTCTGTGATTTTCCCTCTTAGAGGGATGCTGCAATTCCCTGGAGTTTTTTGAAGAGGCAGGAAGCTTCCACAGCTAACACGGGGCATTCCAGCTTTTTGTTGGAGATATCCATGAACTCCAAACAACCAGAGAAAAACCCCTATCCATGGATACTGCTGCATGAACTCCAACACTCACTGCATTCGAACTCAATAGCGTTTTCACCAGACAGAAGCTCCACCGGGATCCTTTCATTTAAATGAATGTAATGTCCAATTATCCCCTAAAGGTGTTTCTTTGGGCTTCGGGGAGTCCCAGAAATACAGCAGGAACACGGCACAAGCAGCTTTTCCACCTTCAGGCATCATCAAGGCAGGTGAAGCTAATACAGGTCACAGATCTCCACAGAAAAAATCAAATGAAACTCCAAATATCCCAGCACACAACTGCCAGAGCAGTTGGACTTTATTAACATCTCTGGGGCCACTTACAGATTTCAAGTTAAGCATCCACTTAAAATGTTTTGCTGCACTAAGGCCCGGAAAAGCAATAATTAACAGTACAGAAAGGCTGCCTAGTTTTGATATATCAGTACTAAAGGACCATGACAATTTTCTTTCACTAAACTCACATCTTCCTGGAAACACGACTGAAAAAAAAAGTGATGCTCCCTGCTTGAGTTCACGAGCAGTAAAAGCCTGATAGCTGATTCATTTTATCCTCACCCAGCAATTACGGGCAATAATTACAGATGGTTTTGCTGAATAGAAGAATAATGTGTCCTAAATGTGTTTATAAATACATAAAACCTAGGAGGAATTCAAAGAGCCATTAGGAGGGATCAGCTAGCCTGAGCTTTGGCCTGCAGGAGTCATTAGTGTTTGTGGACTGCCCTTTTTAGCAGAGCTAAAACAACCGGCTCAAAGAGCAATTAGGGAGCAGATCAGGAGCCTCGAGCAGCAGCAGGCAGGATGCTGCTAGTCCAAAACATCAGCAAAAAGTCCAAGATAAATCTGCAGCCCAGCTCGGGGACATGGAAATCCATAATCAGCAGAGCAAAGGAGGTGTGTCAGAGAAGGAACCGCCCAACCAAACTGGAAATGCACTTTCCAACAGAGCCAGATGACCACGAAACTACTCCAGATGATCCCCTCAGCCTAAATACAATCCTTTCAGCCCAATGTATGGCCCTTGATGTCCTTCCATCCTGAGCTGTCCTGTGAATGTAAGATCCAAGAATCCAGGTCTTCAAGTCAGGTCAAATTTGACCAGAAACACTTAAGCTCTGAGATGAGCACGATTTGTGTTTCAAACTGCCTAAGTGCTCACTCTAATGACCTGACGAGCTGAAAAGAATCACTTCAGCCTGAGAGCAAGAAACTCCCGAATGGCAGAAGGAGGGGAAAGGGAGGAAAGTTTTCAAGGAGAACAGGACACCTTTCCTCACCACCTAGACGATGAAAAGCTTCATAGCGCCAGCAGACATCCTACCTAAGGTGCAGGGTACAAAGCTCCATCCCAAACCAGAGAAAGTTATTCTGACATGCGGTGAAAGGAGATGAATGCAGCAGAGCTGGCACAGTCAGAGGCATCCTCCTTGGAGGAGCACAGCCAAATCCAACCACTCCACTTTTCCACATCCAACATTTCCACTTTTGTGTGGAAAGGATCCATACACTCCTCTGGCTGCCTTCCGACGTGATCCAGACCCTCCCATCCCAGGTAGGAGCCTGGGAGGACACAGCCCAAGAAATCACAGCATTTAGCACAAACACCTGTGGCTGATTTGCAGCCTGCCTCCAACCTGTTGAGATTTTATTAATCTAATTGCCTCCTCCACCTGATAGGGCTCCAGCTGAGCTCAGACTTACCCTTAATGGGGCTGATAATCCCACACAGACACAAAATTAAATTCAAGACTATTTATTTCATTTTTTTTTTCCCCTGATAATATTTACAGAAGAACATGAACTTACACAGAAATAGGAGGGCAGATTTTTTAAAGAAGGTAGAGTCACACTAGATTTAAAGATTTAAAATTGTTTATGATGAGGGTGGGGAGGCCCTGGCACAGGGTGCCCAGAGGAGCTGTGGCTGCCCCTGGATCCCCAGAAGTGTCCAAGGTCAGGTTGGACAGGACCAACTTGAGATAGTGGCAGATGTTCCTGCCCGTGGCACAGGGTGAAATTTGATGGCCTTTAGGTGACTTTCAACCCAAACTATTCTAGAACTCTTTGTCCACTCACGTGCTGCTGGTTGGGTGCCAGAGGAGCAATCACAGCCTTGTGGTTTGCCATGTGGACAACCCTCCCCCAGGAGCAGGAGCAAGGCCAGCAAGCCACACGCCACACAAAAACTATTTCCATTTAACGTATTTGGGTTATTTCCTCTGGGGATCATCTGCCAAAAAAACGCCAGCAAGCAAAACCCTACAAATAAACACTACCCGGCTCCTGCACAGCTGTGGCTCTCAGCTGCACACAGGCCTTTGTAGAGACAGAAATACAGTCATCTTCTGCAGCAAAGAGAGACACGTAAGGAAGTTTGGATTTATGATGAAAGGGTCAGGAGTTGCAAGCACAGGTTTATTTTCAATTCCAGACACTCCTAGCAGCAATATAAAGTAGCCACGTTAAACTCTCTGGAGCTTCTCTGCCTGGCAATTTCATGTTAACGACTTTCCAGAATGAAGGAAGGAGGTGAGGGCATGAATTCACTTCTAAGGCTGCTGCCACAGTGGCTGGGTTGGCAGGGAGAGGCAAAGCGAAGGTCTAAAGAGGTGGGAATAATATCAGCAATTCTCACATCCTGAGCAGTTAAAATCCAACCCAGAAAGTCACAGCCAGCAGGTAACTTGGAAGGAAACGGGGCCTGCAGTTGGAATGCTGGGCTGGAATCAATCATTTCATCACCCCGCACCGAATTCCCGCTTGCAAATGTGGGAATATTCCTCACCACCACCCTGCCCCAGGGAAACTGAGGAGCACAGGTTTATAAGGTGCTCTGCACATCCAAAATATCTTCATCTGAGACAGACTGGCAGCTCCCAGGGCACAAATACCCTCCCCAGTCCTACCAGCTGCTTCTCTACCTGGTAGTGCTCTCCTCCTGCCACCTTTCCCTGTGCCACCAACCAGGGTTTCATCTGCAGCCAAATGTCACAGTCACCACTGAAACAGGAAGGCTGTGCAAAAGAATGGCCCTGAATTACTGGATTCTGGCAGGCATTTGCCTCCTCCAGGATTAAACCTATCAAATAAATAATTAACACGTCCAAGCCCTCCTGGAGAGGATGAGTTTACAAGGCTGGTACTGGCTCAGTCCTGGAGGGATTTTCTGAGTCCCCAAAACCCCCAAATTCAGCAGAAGGGTTAGAGATCTGATTACATCACCTCCTTCCCTGTCCTCATCTCTTGTTCCCAGCAGGAGCAAGCACGCTGGCATCACACGAGTGGCCGAAGCACCAAATATCAGGGGACATGGGCAAACAGTGCTCCAATTGTCCCTTAAACATCTGCTTTCACTATTTGCCTCTGAGACAGCCCCTGATAATCAAACACAGCCTAATCCACATTTGGGGAAGAGCCTTGATAAAGGATTAGCCACCCCTCACTCCTCCTTGCTTTCACTCCAGCAGAATCTTCCTCCTCAATCAAAGCACCGGAGCCTTT